TACGAGAATACGCGTTTTTGTGACCACTTCTGCCCTTTCTGTGGCAGAGCTGTGCCGCTGCAAGCCGCTGCCCGGAGCCCCTCCGTTCCCCTCCCCGCCTCTGCCCCGGCCCCGCCGGCGCTCGCAGCGTGTTTCGCCCTCCCTCTGCTCCGGGTCCTATGAAAACTCGTGTTTCGCGAACACTTTCGCTTCTCTCGTCTTGGCTCCTCCTCGCATTCCCACGGGATCCCTTCTGTAACCTGCTGCTGATCGGGCATAGGTATTTTCTTTACTATTTCCAAAAGAAAGAAAGAAAAAAAAAAAAAAATTGTTCCTCAGTGAAAAGATGCGGCAGCTGAAAGCCCTTAGCGTAAGGGAAAGGTTTAGACAGAGTGGGTTATGAGAGTTACAGCAATGGAGTCGAGATGCACTGACAGCTTTTGAAACATCTTCCACACATGCAGTATTTTTGTCTCCAGCTGCTGGGACCCTTCCACTTGTCTCCTGTTACCCGTATCGGTGATACCAGCTTTGCTTCCTGTCTGTCATTCCCTTCTGTTCCTGACTCATAACTAAATGGCCAGGCCATGGGTTTTGGTGCTTGCAGACTTGTTCGCTTTCTCCGATTATGCCTTGTAACACCTCTTGAGAACTTGTGCCCTCTGAGTATTATCAGACCAAAAGGGCTGCAATTACTGTGTGACCTTTTTTCATATTACCATGCTAATGCGCTCAGCGATCCTCCTTAACCATGCAGGCTACACAAGACCTACATCAGATCAGTAACAAATCATTAGAAGAGAGCAAACCGCTTTTGAATGGTGATCAGACCCACTATGACCTAATGACCAGGTTCTTGGGAGTTTATGTGCCCTTTGGAGGTTAGAGGGGAGAACACAACCACGGTGTTAAAAAGAAAACTGCCACAAACCCACTTACTACACTTTTATCCCTCTCTAAAGAAAACCCGAACGTACTAGTAGGCAGAAATCTCTCTCTTTTAGCAACCAGTACAAAATTTTCACAATGCGTGTTGGCAGTTGTTAAATATGAACCCATCCTAATAAAAATGTTCAGAATAGTATATTAAAAAAAACAAACAACCCTGCTCTATAATCAATCAAGTGTACAGATGAAAGCTACCTCATAGAACACAAATTAACCCCTAGGAGTACACATAGCTTCTGTAAGGTTAGGCTAAACCAAACTGTAAAATTTCTGTTCTCTTAACCACAGATACATAGTGTATGCACTGGTGTATCATAAGTACTGAGGATACATTTGAATTACAGTGTATCTCAATAAAGAGCAGTAAGCTTGGAATCAACTTGAGCCTTTGAGCTTCTATCGATTTCTTTATCGACTGACATTTCCAGGTAACATCAGCCAATACCTCGTGTTAAATAGTATACCGAAATAAGTAGTCTTCCTACAAAAAACTTTGGGTTTGAAATAAGTCTCAAGATCAAAAAGCTTTTACTCAGAGTGCCTCGCTACTTAACAACAACAAAAAGTAGCAGCATCCTAATCGTAGAGCATACCCAAGAAGGAGCCTTCCCTGACATCTGATGAGAAAATCCCCCCATGTTGAATATTATCCAGCTCATTTCAGTAGATATCTGATGATATCTGTTATTACTTCTTTTGAATTTCCAAACTGCCTTGTTAGGGCAATTACGCACTGCTTGGTAGGGACAGGTATTAACAGCGTAAACGGAAACAAGGTCCTATATTGTTGCAGCTTGAGGCAGGACTGGTTTTCACCAGATTATATGGTATTGAGTGGCATCCCCAAGCTATCTGTACTATTAATGCAACTTTAGAGATTCAGCATTCAAAAATACACATCTTATTTGCATTCACAAGAAGAGAACGTGCAATTCTTACAAGAATAACTACTACCTAGGTGCATAATTACTGTTAGCATGGAAAAATTACCATAAATATGTGATTTGGAACTAATTCTTGAAAGGGAGATAAATAAGCAAGATGTTACTTCATACCACGTTAAAGTCTCATGACTGAATTCAGGCCTTTGTACCTGTGACACCCACCCTATCTGCACAACAGTCAGTAGCAGCACCCCAAGAAAGCCAGAGAACCATCACCAGAAACCTCCAGGGAGACAAAAGCTCACCTATGAGAGCAGCAGTGAGTATTCTTTGCACTGCTAAGACTCATTTGTTGCTCAGCTATTTGATTAACAGTAAAGGAATTTAAAAAAAACTAACAAAACACAACCACAATCTCTCTCCTAAAAATTATTAGGCATAGCAGAGCTTACCTTCTTACTAAATGAATGCAGCCACATCCTCAGTCCTGTGCTCTTACTGCAAAACTCCAGCAAAACGAAATCTGCATCCCTTCAAAGTCAGGAAAGCCAAAGAAGAAAACTCTGAAGAGAGCACACTGCTCCAGATGTAGAAATGATGTTCCCTGTCTATATGACAACAGCCCATAGAGCATATATACCCTTGGAAGAGGAGGCTCTTGCTTTCTCTCTTCTACAGGCACAACTTTTTTTTTTTTAATTAAGCTTACTTGTCCCTATTTTGGCTTGTCAGTACTGAACCAACCAAACATTTTCCAAACCTGTACACAAACATCTCTCTTCCCTCAGGAACCTACTTTCTACAGGCGCTTTTACTGCCTCCATAGTTCCCAGGCTCCAGAAGGAGGCTGTGGAAATTGGGCTGCAGCTGATGTTGATAACAACATTAAGCAATCTTTTCAATTAGAGATTTGATGATACAGGTACACAGTAGCTTACAAGAGTTAGCAGTCACTTGTTGGTCTGAAAAATTTGGGAATCTGTTTGCTACGCTACTTAGAGCTCTTAATTACCCAAATGAGCCAATCTACTGTTGCTGACAGTGGCACTTTGAAATGGTGACTTTCTCCCAGCTCCATATATCCGTGTCGTAGTCACCCAAGAGGAATGGAAACAGCCCTTCCAGTCTCTTGAACTTTGTCTTTTCTCAGCAAGCTCTTTCCTTACCTGGCATAAGGTGCTTAAAGTAAAAAGCTCAGTGAGAAAAAAACAGAGCTTGTGGCTTGCACCTGTGTTAGCAATGCAGCTTGCTGGTGTATGCCCCCCTACCCTTATTTTAAGGTTTTACCTCGTGAGAGACATGTTAGGCGAGAGAGCACCTCAGCTTTATCAAAGGCTTAAAATTATTCTGGCATCCACTGGGGTTTGCTTATCTACACATTTCATAAGCTCCCCCAAGCTCTCTTTTTCTCTTGGTGCACTCAGGAGATCCTGCAAACCTTCACAACTTCTTTGTTCCTCTTCTTTTTTAGGGGTGGGGGGGAAGTTGCCTTATGTCCCAACCACAGTCCTTCCTAGCAGTTGTCTCCCTAAATTTAGACAGCTGTGAAAAGAAGTTTCCCACCAAAGCTGGGTTGGTTGTTTCACCCTCCAGAGAAACCCCCTTTAGAGCTGAATTTGCAAAGGTGCCCAAAAGGTAGCTTTGAGTTATATAAGTATCTGGGCACCTGACAGGCCTGCGTTCAGGCAATTAAGAAAACGAGATACCAATCAGAATCATTAGGCACTACCTGCCTTTTGGACTGCGGCCCTTGATTGTTCTGGGTTTCAGTTTTTGCACAGATGATGTGTAGAGACAGTGCCAATCTACTGCATATTATATAGGTAAAAACTATTCATTAACAGCACTTTGAGATCCTCAGGTGAAGAAATGATTTTATATTGACTCAATATAACTGTAATTGGTTGACAGGATAAATCATTGTGATCTTGAGGTCTCATCCTGTGAGAACTACAGCATCTTTGGTTTCAAACTGAGGCCCTTTGTTCATAAGGGTCACGAGAGTATACGCTTGTGTTCCCCTCTTTACATAGACACTTATTTAGTGGAACAGCTAAATGCTTGATAATGACACTTCTTTTTCCTCCTTTATACTACAGGTCCAGAAGCACTAGGATACTTGACTTTGTTTTAATTGCTAAGCCACAAAGACTGCAAACATGTCACTGGAAGACATCCATATGAACACCCAGGATTTGCTTGAAAAAAAACAATTAGACGCTGGAGGATTTGGAACAATTTCTTTATGTTTTCACAAGAAGCATGGATATGTAGTATTAAAAAAAGTGTATACAGGGCCCCAGCGCATTGAGTAAGTTACAGATCTTAGTTCCGATTTTTATCTTTCGGTTGGTCTAAGGAGTCCTCTAAACTCAATGGAGGGAAATCTAAATAAAGTAATAAATCCAGATCTTTGTATTCTGGAGGTACTGCATGTGGGTACTCTAAGACAATACTGGCAGCTGTCCTGTAAATTTTCCTTTTTTCCCTCATGAGCCCACTTTTTTAGTTTTAGTTTCAACTCATTGTTCCAGCAAAGTTCCCGGTTTCTGTTGCAAGGTGAGCGCTACTGTGAATTATTAAGAATCGAGGGGACTCTTGCAAATTTAAGGAAAGGCAGGAACTCAGTGGGCACATGATATTTTCAAGCTTGCAGATCAGTTTTCAATACAATTGCCCAACCGTAGATGTCCACTAGGAACTAAACACACATGAGCTATCAGCAGAACTCCAGCCCCACATGTATAGTACCAAGAATGTAACCCCTCTCTCCCTTGAGAAAAAGCAGAGTGAGCCAAGCCTGCTGATTTAATTCAAGGATTGAATGAGCTGTTGATTTCCATGGATTCAGGTCACATTGCAGCTCTACTGCCTCAGAGCCATGATAATCCTGAAACTCTCCCAGGAGTCATCCACTAGAGAGAGACAAAACCCCGTGTTCTTCTAGTTTGGGTTATAATAAATAAATTAACCGAGTTTTTATTTTGCCAGTGGAAAGTGAATTAAGAGATTCTAGTCGTTTGCAAACCGCACTGACAGTTTGGGATGAACACAGTGAAAATGGACAAGCCTGCCTGGTTTCTTTTGGGTTTGCGTTTTTACTTTCTCACTACGCAGGCTCATAAACTTGTTATTCCTTAAAGTCTTGAACCAAAAGTCTTGAACCAAAAGCAAATTTACAACTGAGCCTAATGCAAACAAAACAGCCACCTTCTTCTGTAGTACTAGAGAAACACAGAGGGAGAAGGCAATTTCCTTTTAAGTCACAGGGTAGGAAAGCATTAGCAAGCAACATAGTCTCAAGATTTTCTTACATCCTTTTGCCTGGTAACTAGAACAGGAGCAATAGTTAAAAGAAGACTATTTAATAATGGGTACCATCCTTCTTTAACACCCTTAGTGAGCTCCCAGGTGCACACCTGTGACTATTGATGGATTGTACTAAGGCCTTGGTAAAGTTGGGCTTTGAATTCATCCTAACCCACTAATTGTTAGTAAATGTTATCACCATCCGGTATGTGGGTGGATCCCCTGTAATAAATCCATTTTGAACTGGAACATGAATACCAGCCCTTTGGGAAAGAGACCTGTATAGTTTCCTGTAAAAGAGGTAGTTGAGTGTGTCTTCATCTTCCTTGTCCAAAGGCTCTTTCAGCCCTGCCCTGTCCTGATCCCACCTCAGTTCAGGGATTTCAACATACATAACCAGCAGTGCACCTACAAAAAAGAATGCTTATCCACTTTCTGAAAAGCAGGCCATAAAATCAGGCTGAGCAGTCTCTGTGCAAGGCATTTGAGACTTAGAGAACATAACCTGGCATGAACAAAACTATATCAATTCAAAACCAACTGAAGGTATGGTTCCTCTTACAGTGGCTCTAGGGACGTTGACATTTTTGGCCATTGTTCTCATTATGAATTAACAGCATTTTCATCCCTGTGTTCTTTCTACCCTGATACCTAAGTTCAGTGTAATTTCTGTTTTACAGATATAATGCTTCCCTCCTTGAAGAAGGCAGGATTATGCGCAAACTGCAGCACGACCGTGTGGTAAAACTACTAGGTATAGTTTTGGAAGACGGAAACTACTCACTTGTGATGGAGTATGTGGACCGGGGGAACATGATGAAAGTGCTACAGAAAGTGAGCAGTGAATTGCTTCATCCCTTGCCGCTCCTTAAGGTTGATAAGATGCTTGAAAGGGACAGGATGTTCCTGCTATCTCCAAAGAATGGAGTCTTTAGTTTCTCACTCTCCTTTCTATATGAAAGAGTCAGTGGGAGCCCTGCCTTCTCTAGAGACAGCAGAGGACAGCTCTGGCTTTCCTGCATATCACAGAGGAGCAGACCACAGTTATAGGTTCAGAGTTATAGAATCATAGAATTGTCTAGGTTGGAAGGGATCTTTGAGGTCATCGAGTCCAACCATCAACCTAACACTACCAAACCCACCACTAAACCATGTCCCTAAGCACCACGTCAACCTATCCTTTAAATACCTCCAGGGATGACGACTCCACCACTTCCCTGGGCAGCCTCTTCCAATGCTTAACAACCCTTTCTGTGAAGAACTTTTTCCTAATATCCATCCTAAGCCTCTCCTGGCACAACTTGAGGCCATTTCCTCTTGCCCTATCACTTGTTATTTGGGAGAAGAGACCGACCCCCACCTCTCTACAACCTCCTTTCAGGTAGTTGTAGACAGCGATAAGGTCTCCCCTCAGCCTCCTTTTCTCCAGACTAAATGACCCCAGTTCCCTCAGCCGCTTCTCAGAAGACTTGTTCTCCAGACCCCTCACCAGCTTCATTGTCCTTCTCTGGACACACTCCAGAACCTCTATGTCTTTCTTGTAGGAGAGTTTGTAGAGATATGGGAAGAATTTGCTAAAGCAGAATGCTGCTGTAATTGTGGAGTGACTTTAGAATTACTTTAATGTGAAAATTTAGATCCAAGAAGGACCTTGGTTCTTTTTTACCTTGGCTTGAGCTGACGTAGTCTTGGGACTGAAAAAGAAAGTTTTTAGATACTGTTTTTTAATTTGATGGTTGTAGTAGCCATTTTTAATAGATGGTACTTCTGTTCTTTATTTTAGTTCCCACTGCCTTTGTCAGTGAAAGGACGTTTTGTGCTGGAGATCACAGAAGGAATGCTTTATCTGCATGAGCAAGGCTTCGTACACAAAGACCTAAAACCAGAAAACATCCTTGTGGACACAGATTTCCACATTAAGGTACTTGTTAGAATGTAAATGAAGAAAGCTGATGATTTGGGTTGAAGAACTCAGTTCAGCTGCATTGGTTAGTATTCCTGATTGACAGAGGAATTCCTTTGTAGTCTAGCGAGCTATCACTAAGAGAGTGTTAGCAGTGGATCACTGAAGTATGGTGGCCTATAAAACCTCTGAGCCTGAGATTTATATAATTTTTCCCCCCATTTGTGGAAAAAAAAAATCACTAAGGGTATTAAAAAAATTAATAACATTGTTGAGAATTAATGAACTACAAATAACAAAACAGCTAGAAAGAAAAAACAAGCCTTAACACGCAGAGATTGAAACAAAATAAAATGTCTTATGGATCATGTCTTTTGTCCTTTATTGCTGTAATTTCTCCTCCTGCCTTTATCTCATCCTTTTTATTCCTTTCCTCCTTTTGCCTATTATCTTTTCTTCTTTTGTCTCCCTCTTTTTTTCCCTTAGTCATCATTTTTAAATGACAGCCAGCAGCTGCAAAAAAAGCAGCAGGAAGCTACTTCAAAGAATGGTTTATAAGCCTGTTCCAAAGCCCTTCTATTAACTTTAGTGGGCTTTTGGATCAAGACGCATAGATACAGAGTCTACTGCTGAATAAACCTCAGTAGAATTTGCAGCAATCCTCATCAAATGTCTTGTCTCTGGCCAAGGTGAGTTGCTGAAATAATTACCCCATTACAGTATGAAACCACAGAATAAATTCCTGGGAAGAAAGCTCTCTCATTCAATATTTCTCACACATATATTAGTGAGAAGTGGGGCTTGACAAGGTTAATATAGTAGCAAGTCCTAGTGCAGTATAAGCAGCTTGTAGATAAGAGATAGAAACTTCTCTTTTTTTTTGCCAAAAATAATAATGATAAAAAAAACATGATCTGCTCTAAATGTAAGTTTTAAGTTGTTGGGTTTCAGCTTGCTTATACGGACAGGACCAAACTAGGCTATCATCACATTGCACTGAACTGGAACCCAGGATCAAATTCAGAATCAGATCAGACTTCCTTAAGCAGCTTGATCAAAAGTATAATTTAAGGTAGCTGTTACATGATTTATCTGCTTTAATGTGTCTAACATTGCCAATATTTATAAAAGGAAACAGTTGTTCTAGGAAACTGCAAATGTAGGAAGATTTATATCATATCTTCCTCTATCACATTAGACCTCTCATTTGCAGACACGAACTTGGACTCCTACTTCCTCAGCAAGAGGTCAATTACATTTTCTTCTTCCTCAGAATACGACCTCTAAATTTAGCCCAAAGCTTCAGAAACTCAAGAGGAACAATAAGCTAGTTAGAGGCAACAAGAGAGAAAAGAAAAGCAAGTTAGAAGTGAGGCAAGGTGTCACCTCAGTTTTATCTGAAGTGATTGGGTCGAACAACTCTGTTTGACAGCTGCCTGTGGCCAGGAGTGGCGGTCCCATTTTCTTCCATCTTTCCTCTCCTGTTGACCTCCTCTTCCCTTGTGTCAGCACTGATGCTAATCTGACCACCCTGCCCCGATTTAGGAAGCCAAACCAGCAGATTACAGTGTGCCTTGTTCGCAGTGCTGCCCTTCTGTTGGGGAGCACTTGGTTCAGCCAGACATTTGAGTGCCTTGCACTAGGTCTTCCCTGTGTCTGGTAAGTCTCAGTGCTGGAACAGGAGGAACAGATGGAGCATATAACAGGAGTCCGTGGGGAATCAAGGGAAGGATTACTTTCTTCACTATCAGCCATTAGTCTAGTTGTAAAACTGCGCACTAAGGTTTCAGTAACGTCACCTTGTCAAGCGCACAGTACCCAGGTATTCCTGCTTTGACTTATTCCGCGCTATCCTATTTCCATGTCTCTTTGGCATACACATCACATCATTTTAGATCCTCTTCCTCCCCCTTTCTGTTGGAAGAGCTAAGGAAGTCAAGTTAAATGGAATCTAAATGGAAAGGGCAGTGAGGGAGGAGGGATATCTGGCCATCTCATAGATTACTTCTGGATTTGAATCTTAGCTTCTTCTCATATGGATCTTCTGTTCTGCCACAAGCACTCCAAGCAGATCTTGAATGTGATTGTCAATATGAGCAAAAACAAACTTCTTTTTTTGCTACATTGTGTGATTGTTTCAAGTAGGGTTAAGTTAATAATGAAGGTTCAGCCTAATGGTTCCCAGTTGGCAGTGATACTTTATTTAGGGAAAAAAAACCCCAACACTGAAGTGACAAATAGTTTGTTTTCCTTTCTTGTAGTTGCATTTTTTTGCTGTGTTTCATTTTTAGATAAGTTATTACTAGCTATTCATTTTAAAATTGAGCACCGCATGAAATACTTGTTTATCTCCTCTTCATCCCAGCACTAGCTCTGATGTGTCTTATTTTTCAGATTGCAGATCTCGGTGTTGCCTCCTTTAAGAGCTGGAGTCGGCTGACCCAAGAGGAGACTGTCCGACAGAAGCAAATCAAGAGCACTTGCCAGAACAATGCTGGGACCCTTTTCTATATGGCTCCAGAGCATTTACGCTGTCTTAATGTAAAGCCTGTGGAGAAATCAGATGTTTACAGCTTCGGCATAGTGATCTGGGCAATTTTTGCTAACAAAGAGCCATATGAGCGTAAGTTACTTCCAAAAAGATGCTATCACAAAATTAAGTTACAAATGTTAAGCATTTAAAGTTACAAAATTAAGATTAGTAGATTAAATCACCTATGCCCAAGAATACCACCTGTTCAGCACCTCATGGCCAGTAAGTGGCATTAGTTGCATCATTCCTGACTTCTGAGCGTGGACAAGAACACCTGGATTGAAATGCAGGCATGAGCCCAATCTCTTCACATCCACATGGTGTGGGAATAAACTTGCACTCAGTGGCAGAAGTTAAGACCAACCTTGGGCAGGCCAGAATGGAAACTTTGATGTACGGTATTTCCTAAGGTGGACTAGTTACGTGTGGTTTTCCTTTTAACAGGAATGGTCACACGGTCAGTCGCTGCTTCTCAGCTGTGTGGTGCTAATTTCTCAACATGCAGTAATGTACTCATATAGAGAAAGCAATAGGAACAGACTGTGGAATTCCAGAGTAACGTGTTTATCTTTTTGAATGGATTTTTTTTGCTAACTAAATGGCTAAACATTGCCTGTGTGGCCATCTTTGTGTTTGCACCCAGTGCACAGAATAACTGAGATTCAGATTCTAGAGAGCTAGATCCATCACCCTAACTCACACTGGGCATGTCTTACATACAAAAGTAAATCCATTAAATCTTAAAATAAATCTCTAATCTGCGGAATTTAGGGCAGTAGATTCAAATTCATTTATGTGAGAGATTTGTAGCTGTAAATCAGCCATCTTTGAAATCTTCTTTTACATATCCACAAACCCACAGGGAGCTGCTTCACTATTTCCTTCACCTACAGAAAGGTGGAAAACTTGTGATCAGGACCTGATAGGAAATTTTATTTTTCAGATGGTATAAATGAAGCCCAGATTTGCTTTGGAATCATAAATGGAAACAGACCAGACATAAAGGAGATCACTAATGAGTGTCCAGTGGAAATTATTGACTTAATGAAACAATGCTGGGAGCAGGAGGCAGAGAAGCGGCCAACCTTTGCAGGTAAGGCACTGTTTTGGGATTCTTTTTGCTATGTGTCTGTCAATAGTTTGTAATGCAGCAAAACCAACTTGAATGTTTTCCTCTTAAAGTATGAATTTTTGCTTTGGAAATAAAAATATCATTTCACGTGCTCAGTAAAGCCTGCCTCCTGTATCCTGACTAAAAATGGAATCTGGTCCAACATTTACAGATTTGTGAAATGCTACTGAGTGGATGGAGCTAAGACACTTTATACACCTGCTGATACATTTGAATAGTGTTTTTGGAACCCTTTTTTCAGAAAAGCTAACATCAAGGGACATAGTATATCTTGGTTATACCTTACTGAAACTAGCTTCAAAAGCTGTCCCAGTTTAGCCTTCCAGGAGTGATCCAACAGCCTTTGACTAGCTAATCATGCTTTTGTACGGTCAGACCCCAAAACACTTGCAGTCAGTAAAAGTCTTGACTGAATGATCTGGGAAGGAGACTAAAAGCATTCAGTAAATATAAGTCAAAATTCTTTATCTCCTCTTGTCTATTCTTTCTGCATCTATATGTAGTGCCCAAAAAAACCCCAAACCCCAATCCAAAAAAAAAAAAAAACAAAACAAAACAAAACCCCAAACCACAAAAAAACACCATACACATAACAGGAAATGGAGGTTTGGATTTAGACAGCGGCACAAAGAGCTTCACATGCAACAGGCATGTACTTAAATACTCAGAGGAAATTTGTATACCAGGAGGAACTCATCTACTGTTTCCATAACATGCATAATCTACTGCTAGTGGATTGAGATAATGCTTGGACTGGGTCTTAGCTTCTCATTTTTCCATACACAAAATACTGATATTTACCATGTTAGTAGACTATTTCAGTAATTCCGTCTTTAGCGGAGACAGGCTAGTTGTTTATCAAATAGCTGAATGCAATTGAATGTATCTTATTTCTTAAAATGGGGCAACCAATCTTTTGGCTAGCCAAGTCAAGTTGCTGTCAGCCACAGATCATAGACAGAGAGCTTTCACCCTCAAAAGCAATATGATGACAACAACAACAAAAACAACGAAAAAATAATCCCTAGAAATTATCCTGTTCTTGTTACTATATTAAGACTAAATGAGCCATGTGAACAAATATTAAAAGTATTTTCTTGTTTCTGACTTCATACAAGTCTTTATTCAATCCTTATCCATGAAAATTACTAACAGTATAAATCACTTATTTTCCATTGAAAACCACTTGCACTTAGTTCTTTTGTTTTTGCAGAAATCAGTCAAAGATACAAGCCATTTTACTATCAAAATCTAGGAAAAAATATTGAAGATGATCTGAAGAAGTTAAAAGTGAGTAACTTTCTAAGCATTTTTAAGTGTCAGTTGCCCACATTCCCTCTCCCTAACCCCAGTTATGGCCAGATTCTGCCACTTTGAGACTGATCATGCTTGACCGACCTGATTTCCTCCTGTGATAAAATGGCTGGATTTATGAATGAGGGGAAAGCAGTGCACATCATTTACCTCAGCTTCAGGAAGATTTTCAGCACTGCCTCCCAAAATATTCATGTATCCAAGTTCGGATGTTACTGTCTGGATGGGCAGATGAAAACAGGTTGGATGCTGAGTCTCAGAGGGTAGCAGTTAGTGAGTCCTACTTCACCTGGGGGCCAGTGACAACTGCCATGGTGCAGGGGTCTACTATACTGGGACCTTCGCCGGTTTACTCTTTTGTCAGTGACCTCAGGGAAGTGATGGAGCGTACTCTCATATGGTGTGCAGGTGACACCAAACTCGGAGGACCAGTCAATACAGTCACAAGGGCAAGACTGCCAGCTGCAGACTGGAGGAATGGGGTGACAAAAACCTCCTGAAATTCTGAAAGGACAAGTGCAACGTGCTGCACCTGGAATAACCCCTGATTTCGGTGCCAGCTAGGGGCTGCCCGGCCAGGGAGCAGCACTGCTGAGGAGAACCTCAGGGTTGTAGGGACCAGCAACCTGGACACCAGCCACAGCCTGCCTGGCAGCAAGGAAGGCCAACAGCACCCCAGGCTGTACCAACAGCGTCACAGGCAGCAGATCTGCTCAGCACCTATTAGTCCTGCCCTGTGAGATGGGGCTGAGGGACCAGGGCTGTTTCAGCCCAGACACGCAATGGCTTTGCCGGGGGATAAACAGCAGCCTGGCCCTACCTCTGAGGAGTTTATTGAGAAGACAGTCGAGCTCTTCACAGCAGCACGTAGTAGGAGGACAAGAGACAGCAGACGTAAACTATAAAAAGAGAGATTCAAACTGGATGTAAGAGAAAAAGAAAAAAAAAAAAAAAACACAACACTTTTTCCCCATGAGGACAGCTGAGCGGTGGAGCAGGTTACCTAAGAAGGTTGTCCAGTCACCATCACCTCTGAGCTACCAACTCTGATCCCATAAGTGACCCTGTTTTGAGCAGGAAGTGGGCCTGAGGTCCCCCAAGGTCTATTTCTACCCAAGTGACATTCTGATTCTATGATGACACTTTGTAAAAGCTCCTCATATATCCATTAAGTCTCACTCATGAAATAAGATATTATTCCTAGAAATTCAAAAGTGCCAGAACCTGATTTAGAGTAAGTGTAAAAAAACCTCTGTAAGTTCTTGGCAATTTTTGTCCTGTGTTCACTGTCTAATGTGTCTCAGCCTGCTTGAGACCAGGAAGCTATACTGCAGTAACAACAGGGAAAATTTGTAATCGGGTGTTTTTCCTGAGCACCCAAGTTGGTTTCTCTTACTTTTCTAGCTGTAGGTTTATAAATTGTGATAAAAAGAATGATTTCCTGAATGAAAATAAGAGAATGAAAACTTCTTGAAGAATTGGGCTGATTATGGAACCTTTGTATCACAGATTTTATTAATTTTCTTGCTTTAGTAGTACTGATGGCTATCAGTGAGAACTCCTGGCATGAGGGGTTTAATCTTTGCAGTGAAGTGAGGCTCAGAAGAGTACCTACCCAGTTATTTTAAAAGAAAAACAACTTCCTTTGTGAAACCATTAATTTACAGTTTTCTTTAAAGTGCTTACTTCTGTCAGCAAGTCTACAATTGTGGAAATGAAAGTTTCTGGTTTAGAGAACATGTGATGTTTATGAAGCACCAGTGACTGTTCAAAAAAGCAATAGAGTTTTGCAAAATGAAACTGATGAAACAAGTTTCCTGGACTGATTTGACCAAACTAACTCACAAATGTGAATTATGTACACAACTAATTTATGATAGTGGTCCCAAATCAGGATCATGGCCAATTATACTAGCTGCATTAGCTCTCTGCTATAACTTGATCATTTGTTCTTTCTTATGTGCAGAAAATGTGTCCAGAGTCAAATGAACTGCTGAATAGGATACAATCCCTTCAAATAGATGCTGTAGCAGAAGATCCCAGTAACGGTCAAGGTAAGTCACTTAATAGCACATTATTATTCTGCATATTCTGCCAAAGATAAAGTTGTGTACATGTACAAAGTAAGTAATCTTACTATTAAGGGGTTATGAAGAGACTGAATTATTCAGCACTTCAGAGAAAATTGTAATCACCAAGAAGATTAAATTGGCTCCCAGGCTCCCAAAAGTCATACTTACTGTTTTGAATTTTCCACAATCTACAGTTTGAACCCATTTCATCTTACACTCTTCTGCTTTCTTTTCCCATGCTGAAAATTTTGTTTAACATTAGACTTTTCAGTGGTCACTTTGATAATTACTTTTCATAGTTGATCTTTCTTTCCATCCTTTTAGTCATACCAATTGCTTGGTCTGCAGGCTTTAATTTAATGAAGACTTTCCCTTTTCCCACGCCATCCTGTCTTACGAATGCTCTGAATATGACCAGGATGCATAGTTATAATTTATTCCTTTTCTTATGATCTTGCTCTCTATGGAATCTATCTGAGGAGTGCTAATAGATGAATTTTATCTTCTTTCTCTCATATTTTCTGTCAGATCTTGGACGAGTTGCATGTTTCATGGTTTTATAGAGCTGTCTCACTTATACATGATGATACAGTTACAGTTTTGTAGTGGTGTATCTGGAATTCTTTTACCAAAGTTTCTTAATGGCAAAGAATGTAGGATCATATTTGCAACACTGATTTACAAGCAACAGTATCAAATTCAGCAGAAATAAAATCCTGCTAAGTTTGCTTACACCATTTGAAAGACGTTATTAAATTAATAATGTTAAACTGCAACATGCAACTAATAAATCTTCCCCAAAGCTAGGTTTGCCATAGCTGTTCTTCAGTAAAACTGATGGACTTAGTAGGGCAGCCACACTGCTATATTTTTAAATTAGTATAATTACATTTCCCTAGCAGAAATAGTCATGTACGACTGCAGCAGATTACAGATGGTCTTGTGTTTTAAATACAAAAGCTTTATTATGAATCTACACTGCAGAAAGATACTATCTTGACAGCTGTCAGTCAAAGTCAGTTTGGTTTTTTCTCCCGTCAATAGGCATTACTCAGGCAGTAGTAGTGAAAGATACCCCACAGGATCTGTTCTTACATCTCAAGCTTGCCCTGGAGAATGGATGCCATATAGTTTATGCTAATACGGAATTGCTAATAGCTGCCACTTTTGATGAGGTTGTCTCTGTATTAGCTTATTCCTCCCACTCCCTCTCTAGCAGCAGTGACAAAAGAAGCAGAGCAAGTCAGACTGAAGATGTACTAATATACAGCCATCAAAAGGAACTAGTTTTGATCCTGCCTAATATGGACTGAATTAATGTAATTTGGAAAACAACAAAAAACAACAAAAAATGAGAAAACCAATACACTGGCATTATCTGAGCTTAATAGAAGTGCATACATACACTTTATTCCAATTTTACAGTGGTCTATAAGAGTCCCTTGCTTTAGGCAGTGTACAAGGTTTTCTAGAGAACTGTGAACCTTTCAGAAGTTTATAAAACAGCATCTGTAGTCCTACCCTTATAAACAGAAGTAGTAACAAGTAGATTTTTTACATTCTTTTTTAGCCTCAGAACACTGCAGCATGATCCAGATCATAACTCAATCTAGTTCAAGACTGAAGTAGAGTTTCCTTTGATAGTGAGAATTAGTTTGAAAGATGTAGATGATACAGACTATTTTATCTGGTAGGTGTTACTTGTACAAGTGTATTCTTTGGAACTATGAAGAGTAAGCTAGACAAAAAGCATTCATCATGAAATACCCAGACAGGATATTTTACATAATCATTTGCAAACATGACTTTAATGACAAATTTTTTGTGCTATATGAAGTAGCACCTATTACAGTGGTGTTATTTTCCATCCTGTTACACTCCAATTTTGCACTGATTAAACTACAGTTAAGGGCAGTGGAGATACACCAATAAATCAGACCTCACAAACGCCTCCAGGAACTGTTTCAGTGGTTGAGAACTTGATGTCAATATAAGCAGAGTATGCAGTGAACTCTGACACCAGTCAACTAAGTGAGATTTTGACAACTTAAACAAGCCTGTACTTCCTAGGTAAAGTTTCTTAATGGCAAAGAATGTAGGATCATATTTGCAACACTGATTTACAAGCAACAGTATCAAATTCAGCAGAAATAAAATCCTGCTAAGTTTGCTTACACCATTTGAAAGACGTTATTAAATTAATAATGTTAAACTGCAACATGCAACTAATAAATCTTCCCCAAAGCTAGGTTTGCCATAGCTGTTCTTCAGTAAAACTGATGGACTTAGTAGGGCAGCCACACTGCTATATTTTTAAATTAGTATAATTACATTTCCCTAGCAGAAATAGTCATGTACGACTGCAGCAGATTACAGATGGTCTTGTGTTTTAAATACAAAAGCTTTATTATGAATCTACACTGCAGAAAGATACTATCTTGACAGCTGTCAGTCAAAGTCAGTTTGGTTTTTTCTCCCGTCAATAGGCATTACTCAGGCAGTAGTAGTGAAAGATACCCCACAGGATCTGTTCTTACATCTCAAGCTTGCCCTGGAGAATGGATGCCATATAGTTTATGCTAATACGGAATTGCTAATAGCTGCCACTTTTGATGAGGTTGTCTCTGTATTAGCTTATTCCTCCCACTCCCTCTCTAGCAGCAGTGACAAAAGAAGCAGAGCAAGTCAGACTGAAGATGTACTAATATACAGCCATCAAAAGGAACTAGTTTTGATCCTGCCTAATATGGACTGAATTAATGTAATTTGGAAAACAACAAAAAACAACAAAAAATGAGAAAACCAATACACTGGCATTATCTGAGCTTAATAGAAGTGCATACATACACTTTATTCCAATTTTACAGTGGTCTGTAAGAGTCCCTTGCTTTAGGCAGTGTACAAGGTTTTCTAGAGAACTGTGAACCTTTCAGAAGTTTATAAAACAGCATCTGTAGTCCTACCCTTATAAACAGAAGAAAAGTAGTAACAAGTAGATTTTTTACATTCTTGTTTAGCCTCAGAACACTGCAGCATGATCCAGATCATAACTCAATCTAGTTCAAGACTGAAGTAGAGTTTCCTTTGATAGTGAGAATTAGTTTGAAAGATGTAGATGATACAGACTATTTTATCTGGTAGGTGTTACTTGTACAAGTGTATTCTTTGGAACTATGAAGAGTAAGCTAGACAAAAAGCATTCATCATGAAATACCCAGACAGGATATTTTACATAATCATTTGCAAACATGACTTTAATGACAAATTTTTTGTGCTATATGAAGTATCACCTATTACAGTGGTGTTATTTTCCATCCTGTTACACTCCAATTTTGCACTGATTAAACTACAGTTAAGGGCAGTGGAGATACACCAATAAATCAGACCTCACAAACGCCTCCAGGAACTGTTTCAGTGGTTGAGAACTTGATGTCAATATAAGCAGAGTATGCAGTGAACTCTGACACCAGTCAACTAAGTGAGATTTTGACAACTTAAACAAGCCTGTACTTCCTAGGTAAAAATCTGTGATACTTCTCAGTAAAGGCATTCTATAAAATAAAATACAACTTATGCTGGAAATAATGTTATTTGTATATTACTGTAGTATTAAAGTTAGATTAACAGATTCTAGTGTCATCGCAACAAGTTACATACTTGCATTTGGATGTATTTCAAATATTTATTTTTCCTCCCTTTTAGATCAGCCTAATTCTCTACACAGCTCTCAAGGTGCCATGACCAGTCAGGTTAACGAAGCCCTATTTGCTGCCTCTCCTGGGAACCAGCCTGTTGAGAGCTGCGAGACCTCGTTTATATCTGCTGATAACCTAGATAGAAAACTTGAGCGTGAATACAACTACCATGTATTTGGGAGCCGGATGGATAAAGCAGTTCCAGCTGTAGTATACACCCCTGAAATGAGAGAGGAAGAAAGGAGACGAAGAGTTTCCTACGATCCATTTGCAAAGTCATCTCCTACTCCTCAATGGAGTGAACTGTATCCAAGAGCTGAAAAAACAGGATCGAACACTAATCCATATTTTTGGCCACAGCCAGTTGCAACAGCACCGAAACAGGGAACTGTAGATGTTTTTTATGGGCCAAACCCTAACAGTCTTCTAGCAGGAAACACAGAGGGTCTCTATGGATTGTGTTCAGCCAATACCTTCAGCCTAAGTAAACCTCCTGTGCCTGAATCTGGCCCAAACCTGCAGTCACAGACAAATGTAAACTGGTATCCAAAGAATGCAGACACAGATACAGGTGAGATTCCTCCTCCCCCAACACCTGTGTTTCTGAAGACACACTTGTTCTCTAAAAATGAAGTGGCCAAGAGTGTTTTGTAGTTTATGTAACCACACCTTGCTTGCTGTTAACAGTTGATCTGAGATATTGCAAAGGTGAATTTATTTCATGGATCTGTGATATAGTATGAAATTCTCTTTGTTTACTTGAAGTTAATTCAGGTCACTAAAATGCTCTGGCTTTGACTTCATTATGCTACTTTCACCAATTTCAGGCTGTTAATTTCAAGTCAACGATTTCTAAAGCATCAGTGTAATAGAGGAACATCAGACCCAATGCCTAATTCTTCAGCTACCAGCCAGGTCATAGCAGACAGCACATACTGCTCCAGCAGCTACCAAAACAAAGAGCTGCTACAAATCATTCTGGGAAAGCAAAGGAAAACTTTTAACTCGCAAAAATGTAACATTCATACCATAGGTTCTGCTTGTGCAGAAACAGCATTTGTAGCATTTCTGAAAATAGATGACTATTTTTAGCTTGATTTGCAGCAAGGTAAGAGACTCCTGAGCTCAGGGAGCCAACAAGGAGCTAAGGCTCATAATTGTTTTCTCCAGAGACCTCTGCCTGGTGCTGATGGGGAGCTTCTGTCGGTACTTACTAGTGAGCTGTGGAGTAGAAAGGTGTGGAGACAAAGAATGGAGAGAACACTGAGCATTAGCAAAAAGTATAAGTGAACAGTAACTAGAGGCCTTTAAGATGTAACTTTTAGGAACTAGAGGTAGCGTGAGATACGTGAGCCTGCTCCTACTAAATATTGGATATTTTTAGTGTGGCATTCTTTTTCAGATCGTCTCGCAAGAAAAATCAAGGATACCTAGCTGTTTACAGGCAGAATGCCACAAACGTGTTATTCTATTGAATTATTTATGCAGAGGCCATGATTAGTTGTTTATGTGAGTTTATTTACTGAAATAAATCTGAGAGCTGTCATGTCAGAAGGCAGGGACTAGAACTGTCGACATCACTAATGAAGTAAAACCTTCTGTTTGTAAGAAAAAAAAAAAGAGAGTTATAGGGAGGCTGTGTGCAATAGCGTGGCAGATATCAGACTAAGAAACAGAACTGCATTACAGCTCTTCCATTTAGTTGTCGGGTGACCATAACCCAGTCACTCTTACTGCCCCATCCTGAGTTGCAGAGCTTATCTGCGGGCATCCAAATTGATTACTGCTCTGGGCAGGAAGATACATCTCTGCTGGACGTTACTGCCACCAGCAAAAGATGCAGTGGTGTCCCATGCCTTTGTTAGAGCCAGTCAAAAGCAGCGTGGTAATGCAAACCATGGGCAGTCTCAGCAGTAAGCAGTAGGAGCACACTTGGAAGTCTGGGATTTTCCAATTTGAATACCTGGTTACGAGGCAGCACAGCCCATAACTATGGTGTGCTGTAATCACACACTGCCATCCACCAGCCAGGTATTCATACACCCCCGTGGAAGCCCCTTGCCCTCACTGGCATCCAAGGATGGTTAAGGCTATTAGTTACTGGGCAAAACTACAATAAGGTCATTGCTTTAACTAGCGTTATTCAAGGAGATACAATCCTGTTAATCAAAAAGCTTCTTGCCTCTTTGTATTTAAGAGCACAAACTATATCCTCATGCTGTTGCAAATATGGCAGTCATTTTAAGTATATTTGCTTTTTTATTTACATAATGCTTTTGGCATCTATTTATTTTTTCCCTCGTCTAGGAAACAAGGATTCAACTTCTTTCACAAGGGGAACTTTTGCATATTATCCTACTCCACCCAGAGTAAGCACAGGTAAGTACTATAGCCTTCATCTGTCCTGGTAGCCAACAGGCTATTCATTGCATCTTGATCAGTAAAGTAAAAAACTTCAGGATCTTGAAATAACTTATGTTATTGCTTAATACCTCTAACCATAGCTGAGGTTATCCATACCAGTGTGTAAAACTAAGTCCTGTCTCTAGCAGGACCTGTACACTCCATTAAATGGGTATTTGACAGATCAAGGACAACATCTTTTATGTTCTCATGCTTCTAAAGACATGAAGGTGTTGTAAGATCTTCTGTATACCTAAACCAGTCACTTTCTTAGATTAAACATCATACCTAAACCAGTCACTTTCTTAGATTGTTTAATCTAAGTTGCTGTGACTCTACCCAACTCCCAAACTACACATGCATTTGGGAAGCCTTTCCTTTCTTGCTCTGGACTTTTAATACAAATCTCTAGCTACAGGCTTCATGCTGATCAGCCTTCCTTGGGGCACAGGTCTCTACAGTTCAACTGTCTTAAATCCCTGAAATTCTGTCCTGTCTCTCAGGAGTTGCTAATATATGGTCCTTTCAGGATGCCCCAAGCAACACAACTCGAACTCTTTAATTACAAACTGGACAAGCCTTGAAAGGGTTAAGGGGTTTACACTTACAAAGAAACTTGAAACAGCAGGTTTCTGTTTTCCTGACTATACACCCCTTAGTCTTTAGATGATGACCCAAACGTGACAAGCAAGCAAAGTGTAGAGGCTTGGGAAAGGAGATTTGTAAGCACAGTAACTTTTACTGTTGATGTTGACAAAGCATTTGTACATGTTTTCATATCTTGTGCTAGATTCATTTTGTTGCCAGATAAGAAAATAGCAAACACAAGAGATGTCTTCATTTTTTAGCTAAAAATATGGACATATTTCCTTGGTCCTTCACCTCAAAAAAAAAAAAAAAAAAAAAAGAAAGGATACAGCAATCATAATATTTTGAGACATGATAAAATGCATTCCTTTTGTGCAACTTCTAGAAACTAATCATGCATACACATAAGCATTTCTGACTAGCAGTTTCAGGTTAACAAAGGCATTTAGTCAAATTGTTCATGTGACCATAGATTTCCACACTTCACATTGCAATTGAGTGTGTAACAAGGATGTTTGTGCATCTAGCCATCATTTTGTGTGATTAAATACAGACCTTGGTCTATCATTTTAATTATCTGTAATTCAATTTTAGACCCAGGTTGTGATATTCACCATTTAAACTACAATTAGAACATTTAATGGATGACTATCCAAGCAGACTTCAGAAAATATTGTCAAGAGAAAACTGGTGTCACCTAACATGGCTTGAATAGTCACTTAGTTTCATGTTATGTGTGGAAATTGGACAACTGCAAGCAAAAGACACCAAATTAGGTGTTTAACTAATCACATACAGTAAGCCACAGATGGAAGCTCCCACAGGTACACACAATTTAGCGGTACAATCGGTTGCATATACATGTTGACTTATATTGGTGAAGATTCAGGCCTCAAAAAGAAAGGAGTAGGCGAATTTAGTAAGGTATCTTAGAAAACATTGTAGTTTTGCCCTAGAACCAGAAGTACAGAACAGGGGAAAAATAAAAATTAAAATAAATAAATGTTGTTGAAACAAACTGAGCAAGTAGCGCGCTCTGATTCACTGTGAAAATAGATACAACTGAAGAATACAGTCCTAAAGAGCAGGAATGAAATACATTGCGAATCAGAGATGCCGTTAAGACAGCGTTGTATAACATGGAGTATAGACACCTTATGAGCAACTAGAAATGATTTCCTGTAGTCTTACAGAACATTGAAGTCATAACTTTAAACCTGACCTTACATCTACGAAAAGCAAAGCTGAGAAGCAGAAGTACAGCTTTTAAGATTTAAATGAAAAGCACTTTCGAGCAAAAACCTCCTGAAGCTGTTAGCAGCCTTGCTTTTTGTTGGCTACCACACATTCCTAAAGCACAGGGAACATTATTTAGTCTAGTAACTACCAGCATGCAAGGCTTGGTCATGGCACTTTTGTCATAGAATAGAATAGGATAGGATGGGCTTTCACTAAAGCCTGTTTATGTCACACTGCATAATGAAAATATGCTTGCAGTTGCCAGTAAATGGCCATTTCTACGTTAAATGCAATAAAACCACTTAATCACCTCCCTGATTAGCAGAACCTCCCTCCTCCTTATGTTACTTCTTGACATTTTGAACCATATGCAGTTGTTTATAAAATTGTATTAAATTCCCTTATTCAGAAGATTCAATCAAGTACAACATAAGTAACAGTTCTGGAATTCAAATTGGATCTTACAATTACATGAAGATTGAAGACCATAATCAACATATCAGCACTTCTCCTGTTGCCACAGAAGAAATTTATACGTATTATGAAGCAATGGGTATATTTGGTAAGAGAAATATCTCCCTAGTTTTGATGTGTTCTCCCCATATACTTATCTGGTACAGCTTTCTCCCTCTGATACCTGAGAAATAACTGTTTGGGTCCTTTTCTACTACATACTTAAGAATATAAAACAAGTAAGCGTTTGTGCTGGTACTGTTCTGTAATACCGTGTACCTCATTTGTCCTGTAGTTTCACGACCTCTTACGAGACACCAGATGCAAGTATAGGTGTACGTGCATCAAGAACAAGAGGAATAACAACACTCAAATTGGTAGAAGCAAGGTTAGGATTGGTGTTCCTCACCTGACTTACAGTTTAAATCACAGAACATCCTGAGTTGGAAGGGACCCATGAAGATCGAGTCCAGTGACTGTCGCCACACAGGGAAACCTAAAAGTTAAACCCTATATCTAATAGCATCATCCAAACACTTCTTGAACACTGACAGGCTTCGGGCCACAATCACGTCATTCAGGTAGAAATTGGAAGATTTTGGAATGTAATTTGTTTTCATTGGTCAATACTGAATTAAACTATCCCTGTGTATTCCTAAGTAAACAAATTAATAGCGTCCCAGAATATAAAACACATCATACAGACATCAGTCAGCTGTATAAGAACTCTAAGAAGCAGCTTTTCAGTTTTGCAGGTTTAAGTGACAAACTATGATAACCTCAGATCAAAAAGCAAGTCCAGCACCTGACCGCATGTTCTGACTAGGAGTTTCTTTCCTGGCATCATTAGGTAGTACTGCTTCCATGAAACCCACTTCTTATCATGTCACTAAAATTCTGCCTCCAGCTATTACCAACAAATAGCTGGGGGAGGACAGACAAGAGAGCAAAAGGAACAGAAGTCTTAAACAATGCCATTTTCTTATGCTTTTTATCTTTTTGCAGACAATACTACTGTCCTGACTGACAGACATCTGAATCTAGTGCGAGAAAAGCTGGCTAAACAGTGGAAGCACTGTGCTCGTAAACTGGGCTTCTGTGATCCTGAGATTGATGAAATTGATCACGACTATGAACGAGATGGACTAAAAGAAAAAGTTTACCAAATGCTGCTTAAGTGGAAAAATAGGGAAGGCTCCAAAGGTGCTACAGTTGGAAAGCTTGCCAAAGCTCTCTTTGGCTGCCAACGACTGGATCTCCTTACTAGTTTGATGCAAATCAACGAGGAATACGCTGACTGAGAACTGGGGGAAAAATGAGGGTATTTTTTCCTGAAGACCTTCCAATAACAATAATTCTGAATGGACTTTCTGGAGCTCTGCTTTTTGCACAGACTTTTTGGAGCACATTTTTTCTGCCAAGCAGTTTTCAGTGAATATGAAAATCAAAAAGTTTATGTCAAGATAATTGGTCTTCCAGAGGATAAAAGAAAATAAGCGTCTTCCTTCTGATTAAAATGATTGTTCGAAGACAACGACAACCAAATGCAATAGTAGTATCAATACAAGGAGAATGTGTTATACAAAATTTCTATATTCTGCCTTGAAACACATTCCTACCCTTGTTTAGTTCTGAACAAAAGCACATCATTTCAGCAAAGCTAATATATCAGTAATAGTAAGTGAAGGACTGAGTATGTGAAGACTCTTTTGAAAACTTGGACAGAAAACAAAATAAATTCTTAAATTTTGCCAGAAGTGCCAATACTTACAAGGGTACTATCCCAGATTGCTCTAAGTCAATATTATATTATTTTTTAAATCTTTTTATAATGATTATTAAATACAGATGTCTGGAATTATGCAGAAGAGGAGTCTGAATAAAAGCAAAAATGATTTTTGGCTTTAGAAGTATATAACTGATAAAATACTCTTCTTTCACAGGTTAATATTGCATTAGATTTTTACATTGCTTGGTAGAAGAGATTTTACATGGTAAGTTTCTCATCTGCTTTATGAAATAGTGAAAAAAGAAATTAAATCATTATGCAATTCAAAGTAAAAACTTGAGAATATGAGAGCTTGGGGAAGAGGAAAGTGCCTTATTACCACCTGATGGAAGACCCATTCTGCTACTTACTCTGGGGGCTCAGAGCGTTACTAGTTTCTAAATCTCTTAGGCTGCATTCATACTAGTAAATTAAAGGTGCCTGGGAATGTTCCTGGGTGCTGAGGTTAACTGGCATGCCATAGCCTGCTGCCAGGATAGCAAATTCTTTAAACCTCCAAGACACTGTGAAAGGGCTATTTCACAGTGCTGAAGCTGTGTCAGGGAACAACTGAACGGCTCTGTGGTGTAGGTGATGGTATCCCAGTGCCTGGGAATATTCATTGCCACTCTGACTTACTAGTATCAACATAATCTCAGTGTGCAACATCCGTGAAAGAAGCATTACTGGGGTGTAAATTTTTATGCCCTGAGAATAATTATGCCAACCTTTTCCCTATGAAGGATGATACCTCCTAGTTCCATCAAATCTACAAATATTTCCAGCAGATGTTTTGGACCAGGTTATTCTTTATGCTGTAGAAAAAGCAGTAAGTGTTCATTAGCTTCTGGATATTGTCACAAAAGCTAACAATTTAATAAAAGTGTAGTTAGAATGTATTTCTGTTCTTTGATACAGTAGACACTATTTTAGTAGAAGCAAAATGAAACTGTAATCATAGCAATCACCAACATATTTGTCACCTTTAAACCTACTTAGCTCAAGGCAATAGTGGAAAGGGCCCCCAAAATGGAGAGTTTAGCAGAAATCAATACAAAGAGTGTGTCATCCACCCGGATACTGGAGTGTTTATATATTTATTTTTAATGTATGCTGAAACATATATATGCTAGCTTGGTGTGTACCAGTATGTACCACAGTAATATTTATATTTTTAATTCCTCAGAATTTATTGCATTGCCTTACTGTTTTGACTTAGCAACATCCTAAATTTTCTATAGAGTCTTGGGTATATTATACAAGAGAATGATGTCTTTTATCTGTCTAACAAGCATACGCTTTCCAGAAATAACTATTCTTGAAGCAGACAGAGAAATACAGGGGAGGTGGAGGGTAGTCATCTTCTCTGTGTCAGTCCAGAGTGTTACAAACTCCAGTCACTGTTACTTCATGAAACAGATTCCTGAACAGATCCTCAAAGTCCATTTATGTTCCAGTAAGGTTAGTTTCACGGTATTGCTATATCAATTCCCTACCCCCCATTTACTTTTAAGCCTCACATACCCACGGTCTTTACAGAACATGCTATTTTTCCCCTCATAAGATCCTTGTCTTATTAGGTACACAGAACAAATTATGAGCATTTAGTGGGCATACACTAAATGCTTCATTTTCTTTTTATTAGAGAAAGCAAGGCTGGACCTTATGTTCTGGAACAACAACAAGACGTAGAGCACAAACACAAAGCATCTCAGAACAAGACTTAGGCATAGGGCAGTCCTAGATCTTTAAAGTGGAATGTGGGAGATGAAGGCCATTTTAGCTTTATTGCTGTCAAGCCCAATTCTAGACTAGGGCTTGTAGTTAAGGTGACATTGTAGATGGTATAGACAACAATCACAAAACTGAAAAGTAGACACAGTCTCTTTCGGAACAATGCTTGCAGAACTCGATCACAGAGAAGATTCAGCTTCCTGGGCAGAAAATATAAAGTACTACAAGCTTTTTAGCATATTGTGGAAAACCACATAATAGGACTCAATGCCTGGAAGCTGCAGCCAGACATGCCAAAATTAGAATACCTATTTAATAATAAGGGTGATTAACTACTGGAATAAACTACCTAGGGAGTCCGTGGGTCCTCTTGGTATCTTTTAATTAAGATTGGTCTTGTTTCTTAAGATGGATATAGTCAAAAACAAAGCTATAGGTCCCGTTACAAGGTTAACTAGGTGAAATGTAAAAGATTATGGTGTAAAAGAGGTCCAAAAAAAAGAGTTAGTGCTCTCCCCTGGCCTAAAAATTTACAGAGGTGTTAAGTATGGCAGAAAGAGATCAGCTAATATTAACTTACTGAGTTACTCGTTTCATCTACCACCCCCACTCGCTCCCAAAAATAAAATAAAAAAATAAAATCAAGTATGGAGTTGATTTTTGAAAAGCAACCTATCATGACAGATCGAAAAAATGCAGGAAAATAGTGGGGGCAAGGAAGAAAGAGCGAGATATATTATGGCACAGATCAGATACCCTTCATGGCAAAAGAAAGAAGACAGAACAGTAATCTCATATCAAACTGTCAAGCTATCAGCCTCCAGGGCAGCGATGGCAGTAATGCAGCAGCCTTACGAGATTTTTCATAAGGTGGATGAGGTGTGAGCCAGGGAGAAAAAGGCTGTGGGTTGCAGCAGCAGACCTCCTTCTCATGGTCTCTCCTTGAAGGTCTTACACAGCAGGTGAATCCATCCACAAGGACATGATATTTTCCCATTTTGAGAGAGTAAGAGCTTTGAGACTTTAGATCATGGTTTTATTGCTAGTTGAGTTCTGCTCACAGAAAGCACTAGTTTAAGATACTAAAGAGTTCCCTACCTAGAATTCTTGTGTTCCTTGAAATCACTTGCTTTTGCTTTCTCCTTTACTCTAGGCAATAAGTCCAGGAGATTTTCTTCAGAAGCAAAGCTACAACACTGTTTAACAGCAAATGGTCGAATTCCCTTTCGAGTACAGCCTTCACCCCGCAGCTACAGTCATCATCACACAGCAGCCAATCTGTGCTGAAATTCTTAAATGCAGAGAGGATTTGTTACTATGTCCCCACTAACAGGGTACAAGCAGCTAAGAATTTGGGGCGATTTTTACTGCTTTCAAAATAGTTGCTAAATAATACCAGTTAATAATACTGAACGAAAAACTCAAAGATGACACTGTTGCAAGTATTTGATACATGAACTTTGAATTGAGTTGGCAACATACAGCTCTCCTCTTCCTCAGAGGCCAGGTTCCAAGGAGAGGCAATACTCAAGAACTTGGCCTCTGACTGATCAAGCAGCTTTAAATGTACTACGTCACTTCTCCATGATAGATTTTTCATCATTATACTACAACAAATGAAAACCTTCCTTCAGCCTTGGAAGCACATGGAAAATAAGACTAAGAATCTCTGAAACACATCCAGCCTTGTACATGGCGAGGAAAACAAAGTAGGAAGGATCATCCAGTACAAGCAGGTCCGCAGCGGAGCCAACTAGCACTTGGGAGGGCTTTCTTCCCTGGATCCTATGCCCTCTAGGCATTTTTTCCACCCCTTCTTCATCCCAGTCTCTAGAGAGTACAGAAAGTGCTCCTTGCAGCATGCCAGGTTTCCCTCCAAGCATACCAATGAGCAGCAGGAGTCAGCCGACTGATGCTCATTTGTTCCTCACCACAAAAAGGCAGCTAGGGAAAGTGCAGCTCTCGCACTCTATCCTTAATACAGCCCCCCAGGGGAGAAGGGAAGGGGGAAGTAAGGATCGGAGCAGGCTCTAGGGTGCAGTCTACAAGCTACCTTTGTGTTGGAGGAAGTATTGCCTACAAGTGAAAAGAAGGAGACCAGACTCCTGACTTATGCTGGGTTTCCCTCTCCTCTCCCACTCCTCCTCTACAACTCTAAGTAGGTCACTTCCTTTCTCTTTAGCACAGTTTCCTCTTCTCTGTGGCACAGACACCAACTTCTGCCAAAGCTAAGATGCGATCAGATAATAAGCATTAGAGCTTACAGAGCCCAGAGAGACGCTTGATGAGGGCTGTTTGAGACAAAAATCCACACTAATCACCTTAACAAACCAGTAATACTGCTTGGATTTTGAATGATGAGTTGCAATTCCTGTGCGCCCCACACACATCTCGAGAGAACAAAACACAGCACCAGAATGGACGCCTGGGTCACCGACTTCACTAAAACAGATTGATATAACCCCTTCCACAAACATATCAAGAACCATCTTCTGAATGTTACTCTTGCCTTCTCCAAGGGAGAAGCCGTTCCTGCTTTTGTACCAGAGTGTTTGGAACCATTTCAGGTCTCTCAATCTAAAATGCCCTGAATCTGAACAAAAGTTATACCAAGACTCTGCTTAGGTTTACAGGATGCAGATCATATTCAACCTAGAAAGTATGAGACTGCCTCACATTGAGACATCTGCACTTGGGCACTTCGCATTTATAATGCGGTTATCCATGAACATATGAACAGTATGCAGACACTACTTCAGCTGACAACTTTCCTTTACTAGCATAAGAAAGATACAGACA